CTCGCCTAAGTACCCTTTTCACATATCTCAAACACATAGCAAAAAAAAACACACCAAACTGGCCTGAATACTTATCCAAAATACTGAAAGTAGTACTAAAGCAAAATCGCTTCGCGCGTTCGCTAGTAGTGGGCCCCACCAGCTCCGCCTAGCTCACCGCTGTCTGAAATAGAAGATTTTATCACATTATAATCACAAACGGACACTAACATACCCAAAACAAGTAAAACGGCAAAATTGGCACGCGCAAGTGCGGAAACGGCAAAAAGGGGCACACGCGCACGCGCGGAACGGCAAACGGGACGGCCAAATCTGCCATCTCAAACCGTTTTAGTCAAATGTTAGGCTAGGAATATCGGATCAAGGTGAACGAGACACCGTTTCGAAGATATGAGAAAGGTCTACAATTCTCATGAAGACACCTTAAACTGGATCCGAATCAAAACAAGTTGAAATCATGGAAAACGGTACCAGAAGTTTGCACTTTGAATGACAGACAGGGTCTGTTTACTAGACCATAACTTCTAGCTCACAAGTCCAAATCAGGAAATTCCAAAGGCATTAGAAAGCTGAGACATAAGGGTAAAACTTTGATGTTTTGGCCAAGATCTGAATCCACTCAGAATAGAACAAAAATTGAGTGCCAAAATACCCGTCAGAACTGTCCAAATACAAGGCAGTTCTGACGATCGATATAGTTTTGATCATAACAGGAACTACGGAACTCGGATTTCGACGCACTTTATACCGTTTCGAAGCTGAGACCAAGATCTAAATTTCTTATGAAGGAGTCGACACCCAGATCGAATGGGATCAATACGGAAAAACCCACTGTCAGAAACTGAAATTCAAAACGTACACAAACGAACGTCTAAAACAGGCCTGATGGTTTTGTCCAAAACTCAGGATACACTAATCCGTTTGACCTGAAATTTTACAAGTAGATTCAGGACCTAAGAGGCTACAATTTTGAAGAAGGCCACTCAATCCAGTTTTGAGTATAACTAGGTCAAAATGCAAGATACTACACCAGCATCGCAAAAACAGATTCACAAAACGTATTCTAGCACAAACATCATAAAACAGGCTACCTAAGTCCAAATTCCGAAATTCCAAAGCCATATGAAAGCTAAGATTTAAGAATACATTTCATCAGAAGACCATAACAACCAATTCAGAAGCAATCCCAACCAAAACAACCAATTACAATCGCAGTTCTTACATTCGGCCAAAACCAGAACAGCAAGGGTAAATTCGACTTTTCTCACTCTACGCTACTCCGATTGACCTGAAATTTTGTAGGCACCTCTAAAATGTCATTCCCTACAACTTTCATTTTTTAAGCCAAGGCCAATTCGGCCTCTATCTATGACCAAAATTTTCGGACAGAATGAAGAACCAAGAACCCTAATTTTCCAGATTTCTTCCAAAACAGAAATTCCTTGCAATCTTCCACCTTTTCCACCCTCTAGAATCATTATATACCATTTCCAATCATCATAGATAGCCACACAATCATGTTCATTTTAAAACAGAAAAATTACCAATAAATAGAAAACTTCACCAATCCAACCAAAATCAAGATGTAATCCATAAACTTGCATCTCATTTCATCACCAAGCATGAATTAAACATTATTAGAAGAAGGAAAGTGGTCCTTCACAACTTACCTTAGAACAAGAGAGAGAGAGAGTACTAGGTCCTCTAGCTTTCCAACCAACTCCACACAACACCTTACAAGCACTAAACTAAGAGGTTTTATGGAAGGAATTCAAGATTAACCGGTTAGTTTGTGAGATTGGGCAAGATTGGAGTATGAAATTGAGAGAGGTTTTTCTTGTTTCTTCAAGGGAGAGAGCCGGCCAAGCTTCTATGTTTTTGAGGGATTTTTGGTCAATTTTTGGTTTTATTTAGAATTTGGAAAAAGGTTGAACAAAAAGTCAAAACAAGAATTAATCATATGGTGACACATGTCACCCTATTTAATGCAAGTTTATCACTTTGTCTCTCTCCACTCTCATCCATATATCAACCTTCAATTATCTCATAACACCCGGTAAATTAAATCCAGTATTCAGAACTTAACCTAGTTGGCCGAAATTTTTCGAACTTTTCGCACTAGTGGGTCCCACGTCCGATATACGTTCTTAATTTCTCAAAAACTAACTAATACTAGAAAAATCATCTAAAAACTCTATTTACTCAATAAAAATTATCTGGGGAATTTTCTAATAAAGAAAATGTAGAAAAACGGGTTTTCAATCTTAACCGGAACTTAGGGTTTAAATCTTAATCCCTACTTAGGGTTTTCGAAATACTCCCAAAACCAAACGTTACTGCCCAATTAATGAATATATCAACGTAGAACGAACTGGGGCCTCACAATCTCCCCCACTTAGGACAATTTCGTCCTCGAAATTAATTCTTTGGTCAAAGCGTACCTTCAAAACCCGTTGAAGGATTAGTCACTTCCGGTTGACCCATTGCATAGACTCTGGCTGGCCCTTTGGGTCGATTTTCCCCTGCATGTGACGGCTTAGCTGTAGTCCCTTCAGTCGGTGGCTTAGGTTTCTCCTTTTGTGACTTAGGGCACTGGGCGATCAGATGTTCTGCACTACCACACTTATAGCATCTTCGGATCGAACTGTTCTTCCAACAGTTTTCGTCAGTGTGATTGGCCCCACAGAAACCACAGATTGGCTTAACGCCTGCACTTGGCCCTCCACGCTGTGCACTCCTCTGGGGCTCTTGCCCTACTCGACCTCTTCCAAAATTACCCTGGTTTAGGGTTCCTGCGGGTCGGGGACCATCTGTTCCATGACTCTTCTTAGAAGGTAACTCACTTTGCGAGCTCTGTCCAGTCACAAAATGGCTCGAATCGGGTTGTCTTCGTTTCCTCTCATGAAAGGATTTTACCTGTCCCCTAACTGTCTCAATCCGCTGTGCCTTTTCTAGTGCCTGGCCAAACGTGTCCAACTGAGCAGCTGCCAGTGCCTCCTGGATCTCCACATTTAAACCTTGAACGAAGCGGCGGATTCGTTTTCGCTCCGTTAGCACCAATTCCGGGGCAAAACGGGAGAGCTTTGTGAACTGGGTCTCGTACTCCGCTACACTCAGTGTCCCTTGACGCAAACGGATAAAATCATCTTCCCGTTTCTCTTGTACGATGGGTGGTAAATATTTTTCGTTAAACTCTCGCGTAAAGTTGATCCATGTCCAGGGGGTCTGTTCCCGCTCCCACTTGGCTCTGATCACATTCCACCAGGCTCGAGCGGCCCCCTCAAACTGGAAAACAGCAAAAGATATCTGCCGCTCCTCCGAATACCTAAGTGCGGCAAATATATCTAGCATACGGTCCATCCAGTTTTCTGCTAGGTCAGGGTTAGGTCCACCTACAAACTTGGGGGGTGCGAATTTTTGGAACCGTTCTAAAAGCACGGTCCTCGCCCTTCGTGATTACCCGGATTATGTCCAGGGTTTTCCACAGCATTCCCGTGGCCCTGAGCCTGTTGGTCAATCATACGCTCCATCAAGTCAGCCATTCGCTGGATGGCTGTAGCTACTTGGTCTGGCTCGTGTTCATGTTCCATTTCAGGGCCTCGTCCTCGCCCTCTACCTCCACCTCGAGTACCGGAGGCCATCTAGTGTACAAGTCTATAATTCGGAACAATACGTATGCTTATTATCCAGACCAGGAGCAAAAGAAGAGTCACAAAACTTACGCACAAAAGGCACACAAAAGATAAGTTCAAAATTCTATTCAAATATATACACGTATTTACAAAGTCACACCAAAAAAATTTACACATTACCCGACCTCCAGTCGGTACAAAACCCAATATACACGAGCACTCCGGCTCCAAAATCTAGTTAGCCAACCAAAGGACAAAAGAAAGTAGTCATGCTAGTTCTAACAAAAGGCATACACTAGCTAAACAACAGTACAAAAGCGACCCTAATCGCCTCCCCTAGGGCCCAGGTTCCCAACGGAACCTAACGTCTCCACCTCGTCCATCCTCTCTGGACCGGTGGCCCGTGGCGGTGCCTCTGCAGCTAGATCTAGTAAGAGCTCGCAGTCAACAGACATACTCCGAGCCCTGTCCCTCAGCTGCCTCTTCATAGCGAAGAGGTACTGGTGTGTGTCCTGGAGCTGACGGTGCAAAGCATCCGTCCTCTCTCTCTCCTCTCGGAGACCCCGCTCCAAGTATCCCATGCGCCTCGCCTGCTCACGGCCAACCACTCTAGCCTCGTCGAGCTGCACTCTCAGAGTCTCGACCGTCCTGTCGAGGTAATAACGCTCGTCATCCAATGCTATGACTACCTCGTCGGGATAGCCATACGTATACCAACACGCGCAGGGTCGGCGCGACACCTGGCCGAAGGGGGAGTACAACGTGTAAGGCTCTCCCAGCCTCTGCCTATAACGGATGTAGACACCAAATTTTTGATTTTTTTTTTATTATTATTATTAGTTTTATTTATATTTATTTTAGTTTGGTTTTACTAATCTCATTTTTAGGCGTTTTAGCATAAAAAAAAGAAGAAAAAGAGAAAAACGAGAAAAACGATGAAAATGGAAAATGAAAAATGGAATATTGCAATTTTGCTGTTTATTATTTCTAGTTTATTCATTTTTATCCGATGTTAATTTGTTGGTTTTCATTTAATTTTATTACCATTTTGTTAAATTACTTCAAAAAGAAAAAGGGAAAAGAAGGAAGAAAGAAAGAAAATTAGCATTTTGTTAGCATTTCTGCATTTATTTTTTATTATTTATTATTAGGTAATTAGTTATCTATATTAATTAGTTATTTAAAAAAAAAAATATGTCGCGGCATGCACGCTGTAATTTTTTGCAGCGTGCAAAGGACAGCCACGGATGCCCTTTGGAAGGCTGGATGTGAAGGCAAGGGTAAGCCTTCATCCTCACCATTCGGGAGAGGGTTTAGTGGCCTTGAGTTCCATATAAAAGGCAAGAAGAAAACATCAGCCGCAAGGAGAGAGTTTTAGAAAACGGCGGAAAGAAAAACTGAGCGACCGAAGGAGAGGTCTCAGAAGAGGACGGCTGGAAAATCTGGAGTGAGCAAGAGAGAGTGAGAGCAAGAGAGAAGGGACGGGCTGAGTGAAAGCGAAGAGGGAGATAGCTAGAGAAAAGAATAGAAAAGGAAGAGCTTTCGGGGTAAAGAAATCAAACAGAGAGGAAGACTGTTTTGTAGAGAGAAAGAAACAGAAAGCTGAAGGTTTGGACGGTAGAAAGAGTAAAAGAGAAAGCTTTAAGAGTCTGGGGAAGAGCAGCCGGAAGAGGAAGCCGCAACCAGGAGGGAGACCGAGAGAAACCCAAGCAGCGACTTCATCAGAATCTGCAACGGATTTCTTCATCGAACCCGAGCTGCAAATCCAAAGGTGAAACAGGTAGTCTTCAATCCTTGTTTTCGTTCATTCTTTTCATATGGAATCTGGTCTGTGTAACCAGAAATCTTAGGCTTTTACTTGCATTTAGATGTTGAATCACTGAAGTAAAGTTTGACGTTTGGATGTATTGGGAGGCAGTTCATCGTTTTTCTTGCATCCATTTCCATTTCATCAATCAAAGTTGTTTCGTTGTTGATGTTTTCTGTGTCGGACATAGCCAGGGTTGATGGCACTTGTTTTTTTTTTTACCATTTTTGTTTCTAAAATCTGGAGTCAATTCGGTCTTTCCTTTTGCACTTCATTCGACAATCTGGTTTGGAAAATTATGGGAAATGTATAATTTATGGCTGGGTTTGAGGATAGGTCATATAAAGTCTTGTTTTGTTTCGAAAAGATGGCTGTTTTCTTGAGTTTTGTGGGCTGCATACGTCCTGAATTCCATTGTTAGATTATGAAAAGAAAATAGTGGCTGGAAAATGGATTTTACCTGCTGAATGCGTTTATCGCATGATTTGTGTTGACTGGAGTCTTGCGGAAGTAGTGGGTATAATTACATTTCCATCTGAATTCATGTTCACGTCTGTTTTCTTGCCTGTTTGAAGGCTGGAAATTACAGAAATTTCTGGAGTTTGCTAGCAGATTTGAGTGCAGAAAGTTTATTTTTTCGTAATTTGCATGAAGTTGGCTGCAACAAGCTGAAGTCCTTTGGTTTGTTGCAGCAACATAGGTCAAATTTTTGTTGTTTTTTTTCGCTGGTTTGAATCTTGGAGTTTACGATTTCATTTGGATTTTTGGCTAAGTGCATCTTGGACATGTCGGCTGTAAGTTACATTCTCTCTGTTGAGAATTGCATTTCCTGCCATAGTAGTGAACCAAATCTGGAAAATTGCAGCAAGCTTTGATTGCAGAATGTTTCTTTGTTGCCTTGCATGAACTCCTTTATGAATTAACATAGTTTCCTTATATGACTTTGTTTGCTTGGATTATGGTAGTTGTGCAGTTGTTAGTTAGTTCAAAGCTTGGAAGATTGATTAAGAAATTTTCTAATCTATTCTTGCTTGCCGAGACTTCAAAGCTTAGGAAGCAAATTGAAAAAAGCTTGCTGCACTCTTTCTTCTTTTGCTGTTTTGGTCTTCATTCTATTCTTGATGATCAGCTCCATCTTTTTGATTCAATCCTGCTATGAAGTAGCATGTTTAGTCGATGATGGATAGGTAGAATTCTGGTTTCTTGTTGAATCTGTTTGCATGATTGAAATGAAAAGAAAAGCTGCGGTTGAAAACCTTGCAGCAAACTTGAAAACAAAAGAAAGCATGCTTCATTTTTGGTTGCAGAAGTGTATCATTCATGTAAATTGCAGGACGTTGCCTTAAGGATTCTTGTACAAATGTCTAGTATTTTGGTTGCTTTATGGTCTAGGCTTTAGCATGTTTATTTGGATGGTCTGGTTTGATGTTTTGAGCAAGGTTTGGAATTTTTTCTGTTTCTTTCCTTGTTTTTCTTGCTTGGGATACTCTTCATTAGATCATATAGTGATAGGCAATCATGCTTGGGTTGGCAATTTAGATTTCATGTGAGCTTGGGTTGGCAAACAAATGAGTTTTTGTGTTTTTTTTTCTGGTATGAAATATGTATGTTTTGAAGCTGTCCAAGTTTGCGGCAGGAATTTGCAGAAATAAAGAAGATTTCAGTTTTTCTACGTAGCATGCATGCAATGTGTTCTAAAGTTTACATTTTAACCCCTCAAGTTCCCCTTATGCCATTATGACCCACAAAATTGAGAAAACTAATCAATTGGGTCCCTGTGATTTTTGCAGCAATGCATTATGGCCCAATTACATTCCATGTTCTTGCAATTAAGTCCTAAGATATTTGCATTTGAACTATTACTTGCCCTTTTCTTTGCCCCTGGACCCTTGAAGTTCCTAAAAGTGTTTGATTAGGCTCGAGTGCTTGGTTAGTGTTTGCAATTGAGTCCTTGGTAGCCTCAACTTTGCAATTCGACTGCTCGTTTGCTTTCATTTGTTTAGGTGGTACTTAATACATGAATTTGTGAACTTTATGATCAAGCGAGCTTGTGTTTGTTTATTTTCTTTAATCTTCCCAAATAAAGTGGTATCTTGACCTTTTTATTGTTTTGAAGCCATTTTTCTTTCATTTGGACATCGTTCAAAGGGGGCGGTATAATTTCTTTTATCCCTTTTTGTGTCTCTCCTATGTGATCCAACGTGCTAAGTGAGAATTGCATGCCTACTTTGCTTTCCTAGCCTTTCCTTAATTCCTTTCATTTATGTCATTTACTTTCATTTTCATTAAGTTATTCTTTTAATGGGGTATGTGTACACCTCTTGGCTTGTAATAGATAGGGCTTTGGCAAGCAATTTGGTCCATTTTCCCCTTCCCCTTTTGTTTTAGTTAATGAATGTAATAAGTTCATTAGCTTGGTTGCATGCCTATGTGTTACGTGTTACTTGCTTTATTAGGTTTTGCATCTAGTCGAGCATGTTAAGTGTTACGTGCTACGTGTTTATGAGTGTTTGGCATGTCTACTAGCTTTCTGTAGTGTAGATGAATGGAATGGATGAATGTACGTTTCCACTAGTCCAACGCTAGTCGGAATTCATAGAATGGGCTAGTCCAACGCTAGACCCTTAGGGATTTCCCCTCGTTAGTATATATTTGCGTGTTCATTACATGTCATGCATTTTTCTTAGTTTATCATTTGGCATGCTCCTCGAACCCTTTTTCCCTTCATTTTAGGATTTTGGCATTTCATGCTAGTTATAGGGTTCATTTGCTTGGGTGTCCCCTTCCGATAAGGGAAACGAGCGAGTGTGGCTTCAAAATAGCCTTAGCACGCTAGTTCTCCCTTCTAATCAAAGGGAAAATTGAGTCACGATTTAGGTCTCCCCGTACCCAATATGCATGAATTCCCTAGGCTCATGCATTTTTAAATCCACTCTACCATTTTATACCCTCATCACACTTTCATTTTTCCTCCCATTTTTGCACACGTGCACCTTTATGTTTCTTCACTTGCACACGAACACTTTTATCATCACTTGCACACATTCACTTCATATCATCATTTCACATACCGTACCTTGCCCACTCACGTGCACATTTTCATTTACATATTTATTGTTTTTTATTACTTTTTTCAAACTCATGTCCTCACATTGCATACATTCCATTCATTTGCATCCCACTCGCATTATTCGTGACTTCTTCAAAGGATCGTTATTGGGCTTCACAATTAATGTGATTGGCACCACTCAACCTTTGAAGAGAAATTTCCCCCAATACCCCTAGGTCTAGGGTTTGCATTCATGTAGTGCATCCAAATGTAATAAATTCTTTGGTTAAAACAAGAAAATCTTTGATTAAATCATGCAACTAGCCTTGGCTGGGTCAAAGGGGTGCCTTGGATTTCATCCTTGCCTTCCCCTTTGTCAAATGTGACTCCCGAACCTTTTTCTTTGGTTTACGTGGACTAGGAGTCGTTTTAAAAGGGGTTTCTTACTACTTTTCTTTAAAAATTCATTTTTTGGTGACTTGGTACACCTTAACTCATTACCAAGTGGCGACTCCGTATTTAGTTTTAAAAACCCTTTTTAAACTATAATTTTGGGTCAAATCGTCGCATTCTCAAACCCCCATTTAGACCCATTTTTTCTTTTAAATCACAATTCATTTTCTAATCACAAAAAATACATTTTTTAAACCATTTATTTATTTATCAAAAAACGGGGCGCGACAGTTGGCGACTCCACTGGGGATATTCGAGAGTCCGAGCAAATTTGATTTAATCAATCTTTTTCTTCTTTTAATATTTTCATATATCACATTTGGGTGTTTAGGATTGCATTTTTCCTTTTATTAGGATTTTTGCATTTCACGCGTATCCAACTACTCACTCACTCACGAATGTATGATTGGTTGATTGAATGTATGTTTACTTGCTTACCTCGCGCTCGCATTGCATTTGGGGGGGTGTGTCACCTTAGAGCCTCGCGTTGGTTCTTGATCCCTCCCCTCCAAACGAGCACTAGCATACGCGCATACGCTTTAATTTTTTTTACCCCTTATTTATTTTTCTTTTAGTGGCTTGTCACGCCACTCCACCCTATTAAGATTTTAGGCGACCCACTTGGACATGTGATCGTATCACGACGTGTGCGTAGCATGATCCGAGGGGTCACTTGATCTTCCGCTTTAAACTTTAGGTTGATGACCTATTAGTTTTTAGTCGAAGGTTGAGGATTTTTTTTAGATTCGCCCAGACGGGTAGCCGTAACACGACGTGTGCGTAGCAACGTCTGGGGAATCTCTCGAGCCACCGACAAGGAACCTTGGGAGTGATGACCTTTGGTTTCCAAGTCTGAAGGCTCGGGGACCTATGACTTATCGAGTCTAGATGCATTAGTGAACCCTAACCTCATGCATCCATTTTAGAATTGTCTAGGGTAGAGTCGACCTTACCCTATTAGGGACACCATGCACGAGGGGAGGGATCCCACCCTCTTTCCTTATTTCTTTGTTGATTTTGTATCATCTAATTGTCCAACGTGTTATGTGATTATGTGTTGAACTAATGTTTCCTTGTTTCTTATCTTTTGCATTCACAAACGTTAGGAAATAAGAGGTCTGGCATGACCTCCTTTTAGGACCTACCCTTGTAGATAGGCTATCGCACGTTTGAAAATTGTGATGCATTTTGTTCATAAATTCATAATGCCATACCATTTTAGGCTTACCCTGGCAAACAAAGGGCTCCTTAAGTCACGTCTCATTTCAAATTGCATTTTTCCTTGCTTTGATAAGAATGGCATCATGCATAAGCCTTAGAAAGGGAATGCCACTTAGGCAATCCCACATTAGGGACAAGCCAACCTAAATCCCATGGGTATTTAACCCAATTTTTGGGATTTGCACGTTTAAATTCCTGTTAACCAGAGAAATGGGACCTGTAGGTAAGGTATTTAACTCCGGTTTTGGTTTCTAGATGGAAAGCCCTCGCCGAGTGCAACAGATGTTAGTAGTGCCGCCGGAGGTACAAAGATGGCCCACGTTACTCTCACCCAATGAGGTTAACCAAATAGCCGATCGATTAGGACACATCGGGGATTTCAAGGACATTAAGTCCGATGGATATTCGGTAGAAGCTTTGGTACATCTATGGGACCCCACTTGTTCTGCTTTTAGATTTGGAAAAAGGGAGATGACCATAACAATTGAGGAAGTCGCTGGATTTCTCAATTTCCCGATTCAAGGAACTGCCGTGGTATTGCCGCTAGTATCTAACAAAGCTGAATTTTGCCGTTTCACTGGGTTAAAGGAATCAGTACTACAAGGGGCAGACCAAAATATAGAGGCGAAGTTCTTATTTGATCGATTTGCGCTAAGAGATGGTTTTGAGAGGCATCGAGGGGACTTCTCGTTTACTTCCAAGGAAACGTGGGATCGAAAGAGAGTCTGGGTATACGGTTTAGTCATGACGGGAACCTACTTTTTTCCTAGGAAAGACAAAAAGATAGCCTTCAAACTCACTAGAATCCTGTATGACTTGTTTCTCAGAATTAATGATAGGCCGTGTTCCATTATTCCTACCATTTTGGCCGACATCTTCATAGCCTGCACTACCTGTCAGAAAGGGAAAAAGTTCTTTTGTGGTTCAAATTTGATCTTACATATATGGGGAATGGAGCATTTCATGAAACGACCGGCTATTTCATCGAGTCTACCAATGCTCGCATACAACTGGATAACCACACATCACAAGAGGATCAATAGAGACAGTCTGCCGTGCAATGCATCTGAGTTTGTGGATTTCTTGAAGAACGTGACCGATCAAAATATTAGATGGGTGTTGGATTGGACCGATTGTACTAAACCCGTTCTTCGCACTCAGGCATCCGAATTCATTCTCCTACTGGGTACTCAAGGGATTACCGCCTACGTCCCAAAAAGGTTTCTCAGACAATTAGGGCGTACCCAAGAAATACCACCCGTGCTTGACATGAGCGAAGTCACCATTATTTTTAACTGGGGAATGTGCCCAAATCAAATCTCTATGAAAGATCGGATTATTGACGCCTGGGTGACGCTATCTGATGACGTGAGTTTTAGATACATCCCGGAGCTCAAGCAGAAGGGTTTGACGACTTCACAATACGAAGACTGGGTAGGAGGATCCGTTGTGCAAGAAATTCAAGATGAGTGTAGACACCAAAATTTTGAGCCATTTTTATTTTATTGATAGTTATATCTATTTATTCCATAATTTTCATTTGGATATTTTTCTAGTTTTTTTTTATATATAGCATTTTTATTTCATTTTTAGCTTTATTTCATTTTTTTAGAATTTTAACATAAAATTTGGAAAATGGAAAAGGCACTAAAAATATGCTTTAATTGTTTGTTTTGATTTTAAGTTCAATGTTTTCTTGAAAAAAGAGGGAAAAGAAGAAAAATACAAAAACATTCAAAAAATAGGCTTTAGTTTTCTTGAAAAAAATGGAAAAGGAAAAGGAAAATTGGTCACAAAAATACGTTCAAATTCAATCTTTTGGCATTTTGGTTTATTTTTGTTAATTTATTTTGAAAAAGAAAAAGGAAGAAAAAAAGAAAAATGATGAAAAATGGAAAAATGAAAAATAAAGATTGCATTTTGTTGTTTATGGTTTCTAGTTATCCAATGTTAATTAAATTGTTTTTGTATTTATTTTTATTATTATTATCCATTTCTAACTAGTTAAAAAAAAAAAAAACTCTCGTAGCATGCAAGCTGCGATTTTTTGCAGCTTGCAAAAGAAAGGCTGGGCAGCCCCTTGGCTGCAAATTACAGAAGAAAGGACAGAGGGTTTAGGGGATGCTCCATATAAATAGAAAAGAGAAGACAGCAGCCGCAAGAGGAGAGTTTTTGGAGAGAAGGGGGTGAACGGCAAAAGAGGAAGGGGAGGTTTCTGAGAGAAGGAAACGGCTAAGGAAAACTGAGAAGAGAGAGAGCGATAGGAAGAGTGAGGGAAACCTGCGGCTGAGGAGGAAAAGGACGGCTGGAGTAAAGAGAGCTGGGGCTGTGGGTAGGCTAGACTGCAGAGGGAAAGAGTTGAGAGTTAAAAGGGTTGGAACTAGTGGCGACCACGGAAGAGGAATTCGCCGCCACCGTTGTTGCCGAAAGCTTCATCAAGAACGTGACTTTCTGGGCAGACAGAAAAACGCAACCAGAGGGAGACGAAAGAAACTCAAGCAGCGACTTCATCGGCACCTGCAATCGATTTCTTCATCATCCAAGCTGAAGCTTCAAACCCAAAGGTGGTCAACAGGTAGCTTTCCATCCGTTCTCTCGTCCATTTTCAGTTCATGTGAGATCTAGTTTGCATAGCCAGAGATTCTGGATTCTTGCTCATATTTGGATGATGAATTATCGTGTAAAGTCGGATGCTTTATTTGAATTTTTAGACATGAAAGTCCCGAAATTTATGAACCAAAAAGCTGCTAGCTTTCATGATTTCTTTCCTTTGTGAAATTGACTACGTGCGGTCCGTGGGTTGCAAGTGTCGTTCCTAGTTCTTGCTTGATTCTTGTGTTTTGGGTTTTAGGCTGTTTTCTTGAAGCTTTTAAGTTTGAGGGCAGCAGATGTTTATATGCCTGTGCACTGCCGAACTTTGTTTGGGGTTGAGGAACTTGTTTTATTGTCTCCCTGCTCATACGGAAGCCAGAAAATTGCAGAAAGCATCTTTTGTGTAACTTATATGCATGCTATCATTCAGATTTCTTTCTTTTGTTGTTAGGGTGTCTTGTTGTGATGAGAACACTCAGATTGCTAAGGGTCGCTGATGCTTATGATGTTTTCCTAATGCATGCAATCTGTCATATCCTACGCTGCATTTGTTCTCTCTTCCTTTCTTTTCTTTTGCTGAATGGCTGCAGTTGCAGCAATCTTCGTCCATGTCGCGTGACAGGCTCATAAGAATCTGCATAAGTTCCTCCTACATTTTTTGCTTGTTGGATATGGAGTTTTGATTGTTTTACCACTCAGTACAAAGTTCGGGTAGATGGGTAAACGTTGCTTAGAATTTGCTTTAGAAATGAAATGTAGCAAGTCTGCATTTTCCGTGGTAGAAATTTTCCTCAAATCTGATTTGCATGACTTTGGTGTAAAAAAAAAAAAAGGGATTTCTTGATGGGATGATAAGATGAATACTTAGTGATGGGGTTGCACTAGTTGTTTGAAGGATTGAAATGCTGAATCATTTCTGTATAAGTGTTCCAGAAATTTGCATGATATCTTCTTGGGTTTCTTGTTTGTTTGGGTTATGATGGTGGTTTAGTTGTGGGCTTGGTCTAAAGTTGTGACGTTGGGTTTAAATACATCTAATCAAGGTTGTGATAAGAATCTGAGTTTATAAGAAAATTGCTGCAAAGTTGTTTGGCCGAAAACATTGCTGAAGCTGAAACCTTTTATTGTTGCCTGCATGTTATTTCAGACCTGAATATGATGTTTGTCCGAGTTGTTTGCTTGCTTGGATCATGGTTGCTCGAGCCAAAGTTGTTTGTTGCTTAATCTTAGTCGAAGTTATGTATTTGAACCAGAAAATTTGAGTCAGTTTGCAAGCAAAAATGCAGCAGATTTCACTTTTGGTTGTAGCAGTTTTCATTCTTCAACGTTTGCATGTTCATTCTTCAATGTTTTTTTTTTTTGCTGATTTGGGATGTTAAATTTATGATTTACTGTCTAGTTTAAAGTTTTGGATGATTAGCTTTGGTTAAGGTATGTAGTTGGATGTGGATTTGGCATTTGGGAGTGAAACATGAAAGAAAGGCAGCTGAATTGGCGCAGAAATGAAAGGCTTCTACGTGATTTGCATGCATGGATGATTTCAGAATTGGCATTTTAATCCTTTAAATTTTCCTTTGCTTCACTATGACCCAACAAATAGAATAATTTCTTCAATTGGATCCCTGTGATTTTTGCAGCAATGCATTATGGCCCAATTACATTCCATGTTCTTGCAATTAGGTCCTAAGGTGTTTGCATTTGAATCATTAATTGATCTTTATTATTTTTGAGACCTTTGAAGCTCTTCGATGATTCATTTTGACGTTGATTGTGATTGATTAGTGGTCATTATTGGGTCCTAGAAATGCAAGTTTAAACCATTCATGGACCTTCATTCACTCTTGGATTCTTGAGATATAATGTTTGCTTGGACTTTATTTTTTTACTTGGGGACCTTTGAGTTTTTTTTTAAATGCTTCAATTAGGTTCAAATGATTTGAGTAGTGCTTGCATTTGGGTCTTAGTAGATGTTATGCTTGGAGGTTGGATGATCATGCCTTTGCTTGGTCTTTAATTAGCTTTTTACTTCATTAAGTTGCAATTGGGGGAAAATTTGATGATTTGGTGGATTCCAATTGTTTTGTTTATATCTTATAACTAAATTGGTGCGTTAATCCTTTGCTTTGAATGATTTTAGCACATGTTATCCCGTTAGTTGGTGACTTAGCCCAGTTTAAGTCTCGTCCATTTAACACTACAAAAGGGAGCGGTATAATTCCTTTTATCTTTTTCTGTTTCTCTTATGTGACTCAACGTGTTAAGTGAATTGCATGTCTATTTTGCTTTCTTAGCTTTTCTTTAATTCCTTTTACTTATGTCATTTACTTTTTGTTTTCATTAAGTTATTCTTTAATGGGGTATGTGTACACCTCTTGGCTTGTAATAGATAGGGCTGTGGCGAGCAATTTGGTCCATTTCCCCCTTCCCTTTTTGTTTTAGTTAGTGAATGTAATAGGTTCATTAGTTTGGTTGCATGCCTACGTGTTAAGTGTTTAATCGCTTTATTAGGTCCTTGCATCTAGTCAAGCATGCTAAGTGTTATGTGCTACGTGTTTATAAGTGATTCGCATGTCTACTCGCTTTTTATAGTGTGGATGAATGGAATGGATGAATGTACGTCACCACACTAGTCCAACGCTAGTTGTGGATTCTTTTATCGTTTCCACTAGTCCAACGCTAGTCGGAATTCATAGAATGGGCTAGTCCAATGCTAGACCCAATAGGTTCTTTTTTCCCTTTTTCATTAAGGGCATGATCACCACATATCACGCATTTTTCCTTAGTTTGTCATTTGGTATGTTCCTCAAACCCCTTTCCCTTCATTTTAGGACTTGCATCTCATGCTAGTCAGGGTTCATTTGCGTGAAAGTCTGTGACAGCCCCACTTTCCCCTAGGGCGAACCAAAGGGGTTAGCGGACTGCTTGCCCAACTCTCGCCAGGACTAACGATGCAGACTAGAACTATCTATAGCAATCCGGAACTTACAAACGAGCGTAAACAAGTCAAAATGGTAAAATAACCCAAAAATAAAAAAAATGAAATCCGGAGTCGGCCATGAATAGTAACCGACCCGTCAGAACCCAACCGAAATAGCTAACAAATATTCACATCTGAACTTTACGTTACAAATCAAAATGACATACAAAGTTTTTCAAAAGTTAATATTACACATGGTTGCCAATCAAAAGAGAAAACCCCCCAAATAGTACACTAGGTTTTAATTACATGATAATCAAAATATGGTTCGACGTAGTCATTTGGCAGCCATTTGGGTCAAATCTCAGACCAAAGGGTTTATTTTCCTGTACAGGAAAAAAAAAGGACAGAAAGGGGTGAGCTTGCGTCTATGAGGTACCAAACATATAGCAGAGAAATCATGGCATTTCACATTTAATAAAATCAGATACACATGCTAGATGTAAAGCAAAGGAACCAATGATTCAAATCAGAAGGATACGGGTGGCTCTCAGGAGCTCCAGCCTGAAAATTCACAAGTGTATGCTCGATTGGTGATCCGAGCTACACAAAAGAGTGCTCAAAATTAAAAGAGGTCACTCAGAAGACCCGTGAGATGCCTTTCTCCTTCACTTAACCCAAAATAAAATCAGTCACATTGATTGATAAATTGCAAATTGGGGCAACTTTTGCTTGAAAATGTCCGCGGTGACTAATCCGATTCAATCACATCTAAGTGAAAGCAAAAATGGGCATTATTCTTGTTTGTTTTGAAAATTTGGAATGATACTTCGAGCATTCTTTTCTCTACCTATACACATTTTATCATTTGCTCTCCCATTTGAGCCTTTGAAAGAATAATTTCGTTTCAAATAAGAGCCCTAATGATCACTACCCTATATTGGAAAATTTTCAAATATCAAAAAGGGGAATGGATTTTCAATGACCATTTCGTTACTTTGGTTGTCATGAGGTGTAAGAATGATACTTTGGCCGTCATTTCTACAACCTAA